CCTTACCTTTTACCCCATTCGCTTGGCCAGCAGGCATCCCCCACTTCATCTTCAGAGAACATGAAATAGGAAGCCAGAGAAGCCAGGAACGAGAAGTGGACATTTTTCTTCTGGAGGGTCCTTTAGAAGGGCACGCAATCCCTGCCCTTTCTCTCCCCTCTTGCAGGCAACTATCAGACACTCACAAGCCTCAACACTTTAAAACCAGAGGGCAAAGGAAGGTACTTTCTAAATTGGCCACTGGGTCTGCAGATCACCAGGGCAAGGAGCAGAACTTCCTTAAAACTGAAGGCACCTCCCACTGACAGAATCCGTTTGACTCATGCAGCCAACTCTTCCTTCGTGTGTGGGAATGAGACAGTCAGGATGCTGATGGGCCAGGTTGCCGGAAGTGAGCACTGTGGTCTCTGGGAGCCATCTAGATCCACCTCACTGTTGGGAACTCCCCTTGGGCAACCACTCCATGGATCCCTGAGTGTCCCTGATGCTTGGACCAAGTAAGGGGAAGGACCTTAATGGCCTAGAGCAGTGGTTCTCAACCTTCTGGCCCTTTAAATACAGTTCCTCATGTTGTGACCCAACCATAAAATTATTTTCGTTGCTACTTCATCACTGTAATGTTGCTACTGTTATGAATCGTCATGTAAATATCTGATATGCAGGATCTAATTCAAAAAGAAATATGCATTCATTCATATGTTCATTGCAGCAATATTTACAATAGCTAGATATAAAAGTAACATAAATGTTCACTAATAGACAATTGGATGAAGATGTGGTACCTATATAGTATGAAATATTACTCAGTCATAAAAAAGAACAAAACCTTACCATTTGCAACAACATAGATGGACCTAAAAGAGTACCCAGGGGTGGTTGAGGCTGACTGAGGTTGGTCAGGGAGGAGCTGTGCCATTTCCAGAACACCCAAGGGATAATTAGCGCATAGCTAGTGTTCTCAAAGCACGTCCACATCCCCTACCCATAAACCTCCTACCGACATATCCTGACGAGGGAAGTGGGGCTCAGAGAGGTTATGTGACATTCAAGGTCTCTCTGCCAGTGGAACCAGGATCTCCACATAGTGTAACTGCCTTCAGTCCTACCCGAATCCTTACCTTTTACCCCATTCGCTTGGCCAGCAGGCATCCCCCACTGCATCTTCAGAGAACATGAAATAGGAAGCCAGACAAGCCAGGAACGAGAAGTGGACATTTTTCTTCTGGAGGGTCCTTTAGAAGGGCACGCAATCCCTGCCCTTTCTCTCCCCTCTTGCAGGCAACTATCAGACACTCACAAGCCTCAACACTTTAAAACCAGAGGGCAAAGCGCCGTCCAGCACTGGCACCTCTCCACACAGTGCCACCTGTCCATTCTCACTCAGCTGAGGACAGGGCTAGTCATGAATCCGAATTCCTTTGGGACTTGCCATCTTTCCCCCTGAGGGGGTTTTATACCATCTTTCTAGATTGCACACGTTTGAGATAAATCCAGTTGGCATTCAGTCCTTAGCAGAGAACTTGGTTAATCTCCCCAAGTCCAGTGTGCAAGCAGGAGAGGCTACCAAAGGACTGCTGACAGCAACATTCTTGGGGAGCCAGCAGTCAGGGGGCCAGACAGGCCTCAGGGCTCTGTCTCTGGGAAATCTCAGGCTGGCAGGGTGTGCAGTAAATTCATCTGCCTCAGCACAGCCTTCTTGTCACCCTTGGATGACTGCAGTGTCCACATGAATACCCCTTTATCCCTCTGGCTCCACGGGTCCTTGACCCGGTAAACTGCGTCACTCCGCCTGGCACACATGCCGTGGACTTGACCACTGCCCGTAGCTCAGCGGTTCTCAACCTTAAATATCTGATATGCAGGATGGTCTTAGGCGACCCCTGTGAAAGGGCCGTTCGACTGCCAAAGGGGTCGCGACCCACAGGTTGAGAACCACTGGCCTACAGGAACAGCTCAGAGTAATTGGCCCCTTCTATCCCCATCGGTTCTTAGCACTTGGTCCTCCGGAGTCTGGGAATAGAGAGTCTGAAATGGAATGGAATGGAATGGAATGGAATGGAATGGGGGTGATCTCCAGGGATGAGGCACATGGCTGTGGGGCGGGGGCCATTCCTCAGGCCGCCGTAGCCTCTGAGGCTCTGTTCCTGCCGTCCAGCACTGGCACCTCTCTGCAATGTGCCACCTGTCCATTCGCACTCAGCTGAGGACAGGGCTAGTCATGAATCCGAATTCCTTTGGGACTTGCCATCTTTCCCCCTGAGGGGGTTTTATACCATCTTTCTAGATTGCACACGTTTGAGATAAATCCAGTTGGCATTCAGTCCTTAGCAGAGAACTTGGTTAATCTCCCCAAGTCCAGTGTGCAAGCAGGAGAGGCTACCAAAGAACTGCTGACAGCAACATTCTTGGGGAGCCAGCAGTCAGGGGGCCAGACAGGCCTCAGGGCTCTGTCTCTGGGAAATCTCAGGCTGGCAGGGTGTGCAGTAAATTCATCTGCCTCAGCACAGCCTTCTTGTCACCCTTGGATGACTGCAGTGCCCACATGAATACCCCTTTATCCCTCTGGCTCCACGGGTCCTTGACCCGGTAAACTGCGTCACTCCGCCTGGCACACATGCCGTGGACTTGACCACTGCCCGTAGCTCAGCGGTTCTCAACCTGTGGGTCGCGACCCCTTTGGCGGTCGAACGGCCCTTTCACAGGGGTCGCCTAAGACCATCCTGCATATCAGATATTTACATTATGATTCATAACAGTAGCAACATTACAGTTATGAAGTAGCAACGAAAATAATTTTATGGTTGGGTCACAACATGAGGAACTGTATTTAAAGGGCCAGAAGGTTGAGAACCACTGCCTTAGCTCCTCCAGTTCTGAAATACCAAGCTCTCCTCTGGTCCCAGTCCCTATCCTTCCAGCTCTGTCGCTCAATTACTTTCATTGTCTATTCTCCACCCCTTGGAAGCGCTCAGGTTGTAAAAACCACTGTGTTCTCTTGTTCTAATTGTCTCAATCAGTCTTGGTCTGCATTTGAAGGGGAAGAGGAGTTGCGAAAGAGGCCTTCCCTCCTCTTTATTTTGTTATTGATTTCAGAGAGGGAGGGAGAGGGAGAGATAGAAACATCAATGATGAGAGAGAATCAATCAGCTGCCTCCTACACATCCCACACTGGGAATCGAGCCTGTGCCCTGACTGGGAATCAGACCGTGACCTCCCGGTTCATAGGTTGACGTTCCACCACTGAGCCATGCCAGCCACCAGCCCAGCCTTCACTCCTCTTCATAGGCTGTTAGGGCTGTGACTGTGGCTGGTACCTTGCCAGGATGGGAAGGGGAGGAAGCGAGGGAGTAGCTGGGTTAGGGGCCTCACGGAGGTAGACCGTGACCTCCCGGTTCATAGGTTGACGCTCCACCACTGAGCCATGCCAGCCACCAGCCCGGCCTTCACTCCTCTTCATAGGCTGTTAGGGCTGTGGCTGTGGCTGGTACCTTGCCAGGATGGGAAGGGGAGGAAGCGAGGGAGTAGCTGGGTTAGGGGCCTCACGGAGGAGCTGGCCAGGAACTACTGGAAACAAAGGCTAGACAGTCTTCCGTTGAGCCCCCAGAGCCCGGCCTTGGCGGCCTTGGCTTTCCGGGAACAGCTCCAGGAAATGGCTGACATTCCAGATTTGGAAGGAAGAAACCTGTAAACAGGAGGTGGGCTCTGAGAGGGGAATGCAGCCTCTCTCCAGGGAGGGGGGTGGGGAGCAGCAGGCTCAGAAGCTACAGGCCTGTCTGCAGCAGACACAGGTTTCAAGGCTGGAAAGACTCTTAAATATCAGACTCAAGCCACCATCCCGGGGCCTGAAGTATCCCAGCCGAGGATGCTTGAGTAGTTTCCGTGATGGGGTGTGCATAAAAATAACAGTATTGGTTAAACTTACTGAGCACTGATAATGCATTAGGTCACCGGACTAAGTGACTTATGTTTTATCTCATCGCATTCTTGCTCCATCCCCCAAGGTACGCACTACTGTTACTATCCCCACTTACAGATGAGTGACGTGCAGAGGTTAAGGAACGTGCCCACGGTCTCCCAGCTTATTTCATCTGTCTCTGGGCTGAATAGGAACACACGGTGGGCATCTCCAGCTTGTCCCAGAGCCTCTGAAGCCTCCCTGTCTTCTGTCCCACCCAGCCCCCTGCTCCATCGATCCTTGAGGAATGGACCGAGGAGTGACCACTCCACTTGACTTAGTTTCCTCTGGCTTTCCGGTCCACTCTAGCAAGGGTCACTTGAAAGCAAGGGATTAAGGATGGAGACTCATTAAATACAGGCTTAGGGTTCAAGGGTCAAAGCTGTGGTTAGAGTTATGGTTAGTGTGAGGATTGCCTTTAAGAAATCCCAGACTAGCCCCGGCCGATTTGGCTCAGTGGACAGAGCGTCAGCCTGCGGACTAAAGGGTCCCGGGTTCGATTCCGGTCAAGGACATGTACCTCGGTTGCAGGCTTGAAATAAAATAAAAAGAAATCCCAGACTAGATCACAAGGTAAACCTCAGGGCTGGGGTTGGGAACCAGGGAGTTTCTCTCCTCTGGGCTCCTCCCAGTTCTTCAAGGCACCGAGGGCCAGGGCCAGGCAGGAAGCATCGGTTTCCTCAGAGCTGCTTCCCTCTGGGGCAGTCTCGGCCACAAACAACCACCAACGGCCTGCCCGCCCCTCCGCTCCCTGTGAGCTCAGAGCCGCAAGACAAAGTGCTTGGGCCCAGGACAGAGACCTGAGAGCAGCCATGGGCTCCGGAGGAGCGGGTCTCCCTGGGGTCTGGTGGCCCCTGCCTCTCCTGCTTCTGTTCATGGGTGAGTGTGGCCGTCCCCTCTCCTAGCTCAGGCTCCCTCGATCCAGGGCCTGGCCAGGGAAGAAGAGGCCCCCTTGCTCCTTTGCAAGAGATGATGATGTTGTTGTTGATGATGATGGTGTGTGTGTGTGTGTGTGTGTGTGTGTGTGTGTGTGTGTGTGAGAGACCTGAGAGCAGCCATGGGCTCCGGAGGAGCGGGTCTCCCTGGGGTCTGGTGGCCCCTGCCTCTCCTGCTTCTGTTCGGCATGGGTGAGTCCGGCCATCCCCTCTCCTAGCTCAGGCTCCCTCCATCCAGGGCCTGGCCAGGGAAGAAGAGGCCCCCTTGCTCCTTTGCAAGAGATGATGATGTTTTTGTTGATGAGGATGGTGTGTGTGTGTGTGTGTGTGTGTGTGTGTGTGTGTGTGTGTGTGAGAGAGAGAGAGAGAGAGAGAGAGAGAGAGAGAGAGAGAGACTGACAGATTGAGAGTTCGAAAGGTCTCCTTCCTTTGAATTGATCCTCAGAGGAGAGAAGGCAGGTGAGGAATGCAGGGATCTGGGCACCTGATGGTAGTCAGACTGGGCTCCGCCTCCCTTTCCCTTCCAGGAGGCACGGCTCAGGACTCCCCACCCCAGATCCTAGTCCACCCACAGGACCAGCTGCTCCAGGGCCCCGAGCCCGTCCAGATGAGCTGCCAAGCCTCGGGCCAGCCGCCTCCCACCATCCACTGGCTGCTGAATGGGCAGCCCCTGAGCATGGAGCCCCCAGACACACACCAGCTCCTACCTGATGGAACCCTGCTGCTGCACTGGCCCTCCACCCAGGCTCACGCCCGCAACAACCAGGCCCTATCCACGAACCTGGGCATCTACACATGTGAGGCCAGCAACCGGCTGGGCACAGCGGTGAGCCGCGGCGCACGGCTGTCTGCGGCTGGTGAGGCCTGGGAGGGGAGCCGGGGTGGGCACACCTGGGGTGATATGCCTGTGCTGAGGGAGGTTTGAAGGGGTATCTGTGAGGATCAATGTGTGTGTGTGTTTTGGGGGGTGGGGGGGAGGCTCCAGTTAGGCTGGTTTTGGCTGAGGTTACAGTATGTGAGGTTCAACCTGGGATTGGCGTCAGAGGGAGGTTGGAAGGGATATCAGACTGGGAACCGGGAGGAGAGAGTTGAGTTGGGGGTGAACTTACATGGAACTCTTAGGAGATGGGTCTCTGAAGAGTGGGCACCGTCGTGAAAAAATAGAATGGGGCAGGTGTGGCAGGAGACACCAAGGGGGGCCTTTGGGGAGGGGAGGACCGGGCACTGCTCCCCCCAGAGCCTCCTTCCTCCCCACAGTCCTTCAGGAGGATTTCCGGGTCCAGCCCCAGGATACAGTGGCCACGGTGGGCGAGCAGGTGATCCTGGAGTGCTGGCCACCCTGGGGCTACCCAGAGCCCACGGTCTTGTGGTGGAAGGATGAGAAACCCCTGGCCCTCCAGCCAGGGCGGCACAGGGTGAGTATAGCTCCCTTCCCCATGCCTCCTCCTGTCCCCGCACTACAGGGCCCGCCCTGGGGACTGACCCACCTATGAGGGCCTGCCCTGGGGACTGACCCACCTATGAGTGCCCACTACAGGGCACCCCCTGGGGACTGACCCACCTATGAGTGCCCACTACAGGGCACCCCCAGGGGACTGACCTGCCTTCTGTGTGCCCACTACAGGGCACCCCCAGGGGACTGACCTGCCTTCTGAGTGCCCACTACAGGGCACCCCCTGGGGACTGACCCACCTATGAGTGCCCACTACAGGGCCCGCCCTGGGGACTGACCCACCTATGAGTGCCCCCGCAGAATTTGAGGAGAGGAAGGCGGCAAGGCCCTCAGCTTCCCTCCCCTGTCAGAGCCCCTCCCCTCACGGAGACTGCGCATGTGCCTGTCCTGACAGGTGTCCAGTGGCTCCTTGCGGATGCTAAGAGCAGAGAAGAGTGACTCGGGGACTTATATGTGTGTGGCCACCAACAACGCGGGACAGCGGAAGAGCCGGGCAGCCAGGGTGTCTGTCCAGGGTAAGGCAGGGAGCTAACATCAGGGCCAGTGCGAGGGGGTTGGGGGGGGGAGGGGGGTCCGGTTAGGCTGGTGTGGTCTGGTTTGGGCTGAGGTTAGGGTATGTGAGGTTCAACCTGGGATGGCATCAGATGGTGGACCCCATCTTAGGGGAGGTTTGCTTCCCCATCCTACAGTGGAGATAGGAGCGCTCTAGTTCTGAGGAAGCTGGGAGTTTTGGGTTCTCGGCAGCTAAGGGATCCTGGACCCCTCAGTTCCTTCACTCGGGCCTGGAGCCCCCATCCCAGCGCTGTTCTCCTTCAGAGCCTCTGGAGCTTCTGGCCGTGCGTATTCAGCTGGAAAACGTGACCCTCCTGAACCCGGGTCCCTCCAAGGGCACCAAGCCTGCGCCTGCCGTGTGGCTCAGCTGGAAGGTGAGGCCTGGCGCCCAGGGCTGGAGCCAGTCCGGGGTCCAGACAGGACTGCGTCCCTGACCCCCCACCTTTCTCCGGACTCTCTCCCAGGTCAGCGGCCCTGCTGCCCCTGCCCAATCCTACACGGCGCTATTCAGGACCCAGCCGGTGCCAGGAGGCCAGGGAGCTCCGTGGGCAGAGGCCCTGCTGGCTGGCTCGCAGAGCGCGGAGCTCAGGGGCCTCCGCTGGGGCCAAGACTACGAGTTCAAAGTGAGACCGTCCTCCGGCCGGGCTCAGGGCCCTGACAGCAACGTGCTGCTCCTGAGGCTGCCTGAGCAAGGTCAGGGCCAGGTGCCCACGAGCAACAATAGACCTCTGCTGTCACTCCAGTCTGGGGGGCCTGGAGGACTGTCCACTCCAGTCTGGGAGGCCCTGGAGGTCTGTCCACTCCAGTCTGGGGAGCCCTGGAGGTCTGTCCACTCCAGTCTGGGGGCCCTGGAGGACTGTCCACTCCAGTCTGGGGGGCCCTGGAGGACTGTCCACTCCAGTCTGGGGGCCCCTGGAGGTCTGTCCACTCCAGTCTGGGGAGCCCTGGAGGTCTGTCCACTCCAGTCTGGGGACCCTAGAGGACTGTCCCACTCCAGTCTGGGGGGCCCTGGAGGACTGTCCACTCCAGTCTGGGGAGCCCTGGAGGACTGTCCCACTCCAGTCTGGGGGGCCTGGAGGACTGTCCCACT